TGGGGTCCTCTTCTGGCACTGCTGACACCGCAGACTGGGCAGCTTTAAACAGCCAATGCGTGGCCTGTCCTGGTTCCAGGACCAGAGTCTGAAGTGAAGGTGGGACAGAGCCTGAGGAAGGATGGTCCCAGGCCTCTCCCAGCTTGTGGAGGGAGGGCTGGGGGGGGCCTTGGTTTTCCTAGACTCTCCGCCCCATTACTCTAGTCTCCGCCTTCATCTCCCCTTGGCCTTCCCTGTGTGTGCACCTCTTCTTCTGAGGACACTATAACGCAGCAGGACCTTGACCTAGCCCTATTGCCAAAGTGGACCACATCCACTGGTTCTGAAACTTGAATCGTGAATTTTGGGAGGATACAACTCACCTCCCCTTCCCACTGCCTGGTGACCACACGTGGAACCAGGGGGAGCACATAGGACCAGCCAGCCTCCAGCTGCTCTGGTGTGTGAGTGACCTTCCACCTGGCCCCACCTGACCCTGGACACTGGGCCAGATGTGGACTATTCAAGGTTCTTGATGGGTTTTATCTTCAAGACAGTCTTACCCAGGACCTGCTAGCATCATAGCCCAAGGCTGTGGGTGTGGCTTCGGTGGAGACTGTCCTTCCTGCACTCACTGCCTGCCACTAGCCCAGGCCCCAGAGAAGGAGCTAGAAGCAAAGGAAAAGCCCCTGTGGCTGCTGCCCACCCCAGCCTCCCAAGCTGCTCATCTTCAGGACCCAGGAAGGCCAGGATGATGGGGCACTCAGGGGACTCTGGAGAGGTGGCAGCTACAGAGGCTCCTCCTGGGGGGCTGTTTGTGCAAAGCCTTTGCATCCCAGTGTAGGGTGGCCACATGTAGGGCCACTACTGTCAGATCCTTCTTGGCTCTTAGATCCTCATAAAGGCTGGTCCTCCCAGGCCATCTTCTCAGTCCTCAGTTTCTTCATGGTGTGGGGTGCACAGAAGGACAGAGGGGCTCCCCATGATACAAGGCTTTCGGTGCTGAGCTGGTCACCTGTAGGTAGCATGTGTGATGTTCTTCATCAGCGTGCTTGCAGCTCCCAGCTCCCAGCTCCCAGCTTCTGCTGGTGACTTTATCTCTGGCCCCTGTCTGTGTCCTCTTGGGCTCTCAGGTTTGCATGGACCTGTTATATACGACCTGCCTGATGCAGCCAGTGCAGTGTCCTGCTTCCTAACTTTCACACTCAGCAGTGAGGCTTGCCACATCCCTTGTGACCTGGAGGGCTCCTACAAGGGGCGGGGGGAGGGGGCAGCAGCTGCTATGGGTGGGTTGTTCCTCAAGTCCTTCTTCACTCACAAGCAGACAGATGCCACCTCTGCCCTGCTGGCTTTCAGGAGATGCATCTCACAAAGGCAGAAAGAGGGGGCGCTTCTGGGAGTGGGGCCTCTACACACATTCTTCCTACCAGCAGCCCAGTGCACTGCACCACCCCTGTTTTCTGGCTGGTGTCCTCTGACACCCATTATTATTGTGGCTGTGTTTCATTTGTTGTGTGTAAAATGGATCTGATCTTGAAAACTTTGACAAATCTGATCATTTTAAGATGATGACTTGTAACAGTGAGATGGGGCTGGAGGGATGCTGTGGCTTCTCCAGTGGATGGGGCAGCAGTTTTGATTCTACTTTATTTCATCTGTCTGGAATCCGTTTTTCTAGTCTGTTTGCATCCAGCAATCTAATGGCTAGAAGAGGTCTCTGTATACTGGGAAGAAACTCATTTACATCTAGGGGAGGGTGATTAAAATATATGCTGAATGTTTCAATTTATTACAGTAGAAGACACAATGCCATAATCACACACACACACACACTCACCCCGTTTCAAACATAATTATCCTATTTTTCTTGCCACTTTCTGAAGCAGTTCTGAAAGTCCTCTTTCATGAGTGTCTTTGTAAGAAATGATAAAGATTACAGTGAATGCTGCTGCCAAGTGCCATTCAAGGAAAAGGCAGGTGCATAAAAACATGACAGTATGTCCTCATCCACCTTATTCTCTGGATCTGGCACTGTGCAACTTCTGGCTCTTTCTCAAAGTCAAAATGACCATGAAAGGTAAAAGTTTTAAGTTCATTCAGGACATTGAGGCAGCCATAGCAGGGCAACTAAAGACACTCACGAAAGAGGACTTCCAGACCTGCTTCAGAAAATGGCAAGAAGGATGGGATAAGTGTGTTTGAAGCAAGGGGGTTTATTTTGAGGGGAATTAATGGCGATATGCCTTTTAATGTATTAAGTTTAAAATTTTTTAAACACTTACTGTATTTTTGATCATGCCACATATTTTGCTTGATAAAGCTAGCTGAAGATAATGGAATGCACTGAATGTCTAAAAAGCCCACTGATGGGGTTTACTATATTGATTACAATTCTTTTGGAAGTTTTAACTCTTAGTTTTTTTAAAAAATAAAGTAATATTCCTCAAAAAACCATGACTAGTAGGTTCCTGACCATCCTACGCACAACTGACTTATGTGTGTGTTTCCTGTTTTGTTACTTTGTTTACACAATTAGGATCATATCACGTGTACAGTTTCAGCACCTGCTTTTTTTTTAACTCTAAATCTTGGATCCCTTCATTGTGATGTAGGTCCATTTCCATTTTATTTTACTGGACACGTTACATGTCCAGTGTAGGGCTCAAGCCCTGTGTAATCAGGTCTCTTTTCTAATAATCACCACTAGGAATGGCAATGCTTGGCACAGCTCTGCCCGTGGGTCTCTACAGTTACGCTAATCCATCACCTGGTGAGAGAATTAAACCGAGGCAGCATTTGTCAGTAAGGTCTAAAGGAACGAAGGCTGCTGTAACAAATATCTTTAACTGGATAATTTGCACACAACACGAATGTATTGCTCATTGTTTTGGAGGCTGGGAAGTTCAAGATGAAGGGATGCCAGTGATGGGTCCAGTGAGGGCTGTTCCCTGACTCTGGCACTGGACATGGTGTCACCCACCTGTGATCCCAGAATTCTAGGAGGCTGAGGCAAAGGGATCCTGGGTTTGAGGCCAGCCAAGGTAAGTTAGCGGCTTGGTGAGACCCTGCCTCAAAATAAAAAGTAAAAAAAAGGACTGGGAATATAGCTCAGTCTGAAGACCCAACTCCATTACTGAAAAGAATAAAAAGCTTTCTGTGTTCTCCTATGGCAGAATGGGCTCCCGTGGGCTCTTTTATCAGGGCACCAATTCCATTTCTAAGGGTTTGATCTAATCACCTCCCGAAGGCCCCACTGCCTGACATTGCCACACTGGGGATTCGGTTCCAACACAGGAGTTTTTGAAGAACATTTTCATTGTTCATAACTGAAGCTTCATATGCTCTGAAAGCATTTCCCTCTTCCTCTCCCTTCCATTCCACTTCCTGCCAGTACGAGTCTGGCCAGGTTAGATACCTCATATAAGCAGACTCTTACAGCATTTTCCCTGTGAGTGGCTTATTTCCCTTGGCATCCATGGCTCATCCATGTTGTCTCCAAATGTGAATGCATGAGGGAAGTTTCCTCTGAAGGTCGAACCCCTCTTTAACATAAAGCCCTCTGCCACACTGTCCCCCCTTCTGGACTTCTGGATAACATTACATTAGGCTTTGCAAAGTCAGAACCCAGATGCACTTTCCATGAAAAGGTGAACAAAGCTGCCTCTGGAGGAAGAGGGTGGGAGGGACCCGGGTGGCAGGGCACAGGGTGGGAGGACTTTTGGGGGACACTAAATCCTCTCCCTTGAGGATCGCTGTTTCCATCCATTGAGATGCAGAGGCAAAGCACCACCCCACAGAGATGACCAGTTCACTTGGGTCAACACCTGTTTAGAGAGTGACCCTGAACCCTGGGCACCCTGGGTCACCAAGGAGCAGGTGCATGGCAGGGCTGGGTTTTTACAGTACCAGATGCAAGATCCCTAGCTGGCCAGGCAGAGGGGAGGACTGGGGAGAAACCAATAGTCTCATCCATTTTCTTTTTTTTCTTTTTTAGAAGATAATAACCCGAATTTATTATTAGATTTCATTAGAAACATCGAAGGGGAATGAAATGTTGTAAATAAAAAAGTAGGCAAAAAATAGTGATCTAAAGCAAATAAACAGACATGCAAGTGTGTCTCCTGGAAGAAGAATCCATGGTTGAAAAGACACCTGCCTGGGTGATGCTGGTGGGAACTGCTCAGTGGTCAACCCTGGGAGCCGAATGAATGGCCATCAGCAGAGGATGCGGGACAGCTGTGCTCCACCCCATGACGGTGCCACCACTGAGGAGGAGCAGCATGCAGGGATCCCAGCCTGTGTTACTGCTTGAAGAAGACCTGCCGGAAACATTTATACCGAATGGTTCCAGCTCCACCCTCTCTACTCCACCAGGGACAAAAAGCACGTGGTCAGCTTGGGATGAGAGGACAGGGAGGGGACAGCAGCGCCACCAGAGATGCTCCCAGGTGATGCGTGAGAGTGTTCTGCACCCCCGCTGGGTGGGAGGTTTCACAAAGGCTGCTGTCCCCTCGCGCTGTCTCTGCACTGCATAGTGCTCTTTGGGTTGCGTTCGGTATCTGTGCTTAAGTAGCTATCCATGTGCACTTGAAAGTTACGACCTGCTGTGAATCCTCCACTCCTGGCCACCCAGGGGTTATCAGCTGAAACTTTTGTATCCTTTAAAGAAAATTATATTGGACATTTTGGGATCATCTCCATAGTCCCTATTGGAATCGAAAGGCAATTGAAGTCAACCCAGGAAAGAAAATCATCCTCAAATCCATCGATCTCTAAGTGCTGACATGAGCACTGTCTTGAGAGAGAATGGACCCTTTGGATGGGAAAGCACACTTTTCTCCCTGTGCCTGCTGCATCTTAAGCATCTACACATGTGCCGAATTAAAACTTCTGATTCATCAGACTCTAACATCACGAGCAGCTTTTCTGGTTTCTCATTGCTGTTTCTAAGGAGCACACAGATAGATGTGCTCCACCATGAAAGGAAGGGGCCCCGGGGCCTTCTCATCAGAGGGGGCAGTTTGGCTTATGACCCTAGCACTGCGACCTCACTTCCTTGGCGACAGGTCCAAACAGAACTCGGAACCCTGGAGTCACTGGGCACCACAGTCCAGCGACGGCTGCCTGACAGTCACTTGGCTGGAGAGCGTCAGCAGCGATCATGCCGTGCTGCTTTCCCAGGCCTCGAGGCCGCAGCACCAGGACCCCGCGCAGGGAAAGCACTTGGGCGCGAGTGAGCGGATGGATGGCTAAGTCCCCGTGCTTCGGGCCACTCACCAGGAACTGCCTGGCCTTCAGGGGCAGCACAGGGCGGGTCTCCCCAGACCCAGAGACCTGGGAATCTGAGATGAGCGGGAGCCCAGGGGAGATCTCCCTGGACCTGGACTCCAGACACTCAGGGCCACCAGGCCACCTGTCCAGGACAGGTCCAGTTAGGCCCGGCCACCACTGTGAGCCCCCGGTGTAACTCCCGCCCTTCTTCCTCACTTTGAGCAGGGTAGGGGACGAGGTCGGGAGGGAGGCTCCTCCTGGGCAGGGGCAGGTGTGGGAGGCTGTGAGCCCGGGGCCCTGGCCTGTGCCCCCAGGACGGGGCTGAGAGGAGGAGAAGGGCCGTGCCCAGGGATGAGCCGCAGCCCGCAGGGCCTTCTCCCGTCCTCTGGGGTAGAAGCCTGAGACAGAGCTGTTTGTGTTTCAGGAGCACAAGGTTACCCGGGGCAGAAACAGCACAAACTGTGGTCAGGCAGAGCCTTGTGCTTGCTGCCGGCTGCTGGGCACTGTCCCCACAGAGCTGCACACAGGACACTGTGTCACTTCCATCCTGTCACGGCTTTATTCTGCCGTGTCACCTCAGGGCAACTCCTGGCCAGGGCCCATGTGGTACCCACAGGGGCTACGCGACCTGCAAAGGTGGCAGTGAGCTCAGCAGGGCAGCCTCTCAGGACCAGGAAGTGGGCCTGACTTTTTCTGAGCCATTAACAGACACCAGAGACAGGCTGGAGCCAGGCTGAGCCTCGGTTTCTCTCTCCACCACGGGACCTGAGGGTGGGTGGGCTCTTCATGCCCCCGGCCATGACCTCTCCTTGTTAAAGAGCCATGCATCGGTAGCATTTCTGTGTGTCCCTTCTGAATTTACCTTCTAACATGCACCGCTTTTCTGCCGGGCCCACTTGTGCCCCTTCTGGTACGAGCCATGATGGCGACTTGCAGAGTGGTCTGGGCTTCGGCCTCCAGCCCTCCTGATGGCCTGGGTGGGCCCCAGTTCCACGTCTCCCCTCTGTTCCATCACAGATTGGGGCCCAACGGGAGGAGAGCCGGGTAGAGGACTGCATGGTGAGGACAGCGCGGGCAGACATGCAGCACCCTCGGAGGGAGCCCCCGGAATGGGACTTCCTGGACCCCTCTGGGGCCCCCATTCCCGCCCTGCAGGAGGGGATGGTGTGAAGGCGAGGTCTGTGGTCGGCACCCAGGAGCACTTGGCCACTGTGGATCCAAGTCCTTGGGAGGTATGAGCCCTGCCTCAGCCTGCTCGCAACTCTGAGCAGCAGGGCGCTGAGAAAATCGGGCTCTCGGCATCACTGCGGGGCAGAACTGGGGTCTCCAGGGCAGTGCTGACCCAGGCCTGCCGAATTCCCTTCCATCCCTGGCCAGCTGTGCTTTGCCCCACTGAGCCCTGCACAGGGGAAGGCTGTCCGTTCCCTGTAAAGGAGACCGCAGAGTGACTCGGCAGGCCTCTGGTCTTCCCAGAGCAGGAGTCTGTGGGGATGCGAAGGGCCCAGGCCCACTGACATCAGGGAAGAGCAGGTGGGGTCCCCATTCCATGGACGTATGTGAAGACACACTGTGTGGAGACCTTTCCCAGGGCTTGGCTGTGATCGCCAGTAGCCAGAGCAGATGCAACCCCTGCCCTCTGGGGCCTCAGTGCTGTTTGGGGTCCTCAGTCACCCTGGACAGCTGAGCGAGCATTCCTCGCACTGCAGTAGATCCCACTTTCCCGGCCTCCCTAGATGTGGACCCACAGCAGTGCAAGAGGAGCCCAGGAGCGGCATAGACACTGGGCAGCACAGCGCTGCAGAGCTAAAGCCTGAGGAGAGGTGGGCGGGACAGATGCCCACTGTCCCCCACGTCTCAGATCATTACAGAGCAGTGGCCCTGTGCCCTTGAGTGTAACACGCAGCAGACAGCAGACTCTGTCCTCATGCAGCTGGCAGTGGGGACGGGTGGGCAGACGGTGTGTTGGGCTGCCCTGAACAAGGCAGGGGCGGTCGCACCACAGAGCACGGAGCTTCCTGTTAGGTCTCGGGCTGCCTGGGCTGACACTGCCCCACTGGGCGTGGCGAGGGTGGGGCTGGAGCACGCGCAGCCGGGCCAGGAGGCCTACTTGGCCATCTCCGAATGTTCCCTGGGCAGGCAGCATGGGAGGAAAGGCCAGGCCTCTCACTCTGCCGCCTACCTGCCTTTCCAGGGCCTCCTTTTCTGCCCTCCACTTCTGGGAGGAGCTGGACTCCCAGGAGGATCCACCAGCTGAACTCCTGCCCCAGCTGGAGCAAGCTGAGCCCACTGAGGCACAGCCCACGGGTGAGGAGGATGGGGTGTGGGCCTGTGGGCATGAGGGGAGGGATGGGCCTTTAGACACAGAGACAGCTTCCGGGTGCTGGGGTGACCTGGGGTCACTGAGACCTCAGCCTTCACGGTCTGGGAGGACTTCCTGGGGAGGCTTTGTGTGCAGAGCTGTCTGATGGGCAGTGGGGAGGTTTTGCCCTGGGAGGGAACATGGACAGTTGGTGGCTTTTTCTTCTCTTGGAACTGCAGGACCAGCTGCAGCCCCAGCTGAAGTCCCACGTGCGGAGCCCGAGCCAGCTCCACCTGCAGCTTCCTGCCCAGCGCTGGGACCACAGCCAGAGTCCATGGCAGCCCCTTCACCTGCTGCAGTGCTGGGGTACCCGGTGGTTGCACGGCGGTCGGTGTCACCTCCTGAGCTCTGCCTGGGGCCAGCTCCTGGCCCCCTCCCACTGTTCCCCTCACTTATGCTGGCTCTTGTTTTGGTATTTATACTTGCCCCTATTTCTTGGATTTATATAAATAATAGAACTAGCTTTTAATAAAATTTAAAATTTTAGTGTTTAAAAGGGTCAGCGTGGTGGCCTGAAGTGCCTTCTCCCATGTGCGCCCATTTCCAGAGCACTGCGCTTGGTGACTCCTGCCCACGCCCCTGGCCACTGCTCCTCTTGTGTCCCCATGGAAACCTGGTCTGCAGGTCTCAGCCATTTTCATGGGCTCCTCCCAGCCTCACTCTGAGTGTTGCTCACAGGGAGCCAACACCCCACCCAGGGGAGCCCGAGAGAAGCAAAGCTCATTAAAGTTACTCACACAGGAGCTGCAGGGCACTCCAGGCACCTGGGAGTCTTGATAAAATGCATCTGTTCTCTGGGTCGGTGGGGCCTGGGAACCTGCATTTCCAGCATGCCCAGCTGAGGCTGAGGATGCAGGCCCTGGGCCACACTTTAAGAAGCCAGGTAAAGTCCCAGGACACGGGGGCAGGGGAAAGGAGGTACAGGGAGCCTCAGGGCCCTGGGCACACTGCCTGCAGTAGGCACTGCCCAGACCTCAGGGAGGGACCAGGATGTCCCAGCCTGGGGTGGGCTGGAGAGGGAAGAAAGGGAGCCCCTAGCTCCTAGTGGAGAGTCTCACTATCTAGACCTTCCATTTCCCTCCAAGCACAGATCTTGACCCAGAAAGTGGGCTGGAGGGACAGGCAAGCGGGTGCTTGTATAATGCCACTGAGTTCATGGGGACACCTGGGAGCCCTGAAGCCGTGTGACAGGGAGGGGCTAGGGTGGACAGAAGAGCTTTCTCAGGTGTTCTGGGTTCTGCACTGCGGGTTCTGTGACCAGGAGCAGTCCCATTGTCCCGCCTCTGGACAACATGTGGGGTCAGGCGCCATCCAAGGGCGAAGTTTGTGCTTTTAGAAATATTTTTCTGAGGAAGCGATTAGCCAGCCAGACCTGTTGTCCTTCCGCAAGCAGCCAATTACCCAGGAAAATGTAATTCCCCATTCGCTTTGTTATTAGCACACAGCTAAGGCGACTGAGGCAATCGCCCCTTTCATGGTATTTCAAAGCTTACTCATTCGATGCATCCCTGATATTAAACACAATGAGACTTTTTTGAATTCAATTAAGCATTTGCCTACTGTGACTCTTTATTCCTTGCAAATTGTCTCAGTAAATAATCTTCATCAAAAGTCAGAACCAATCCCCATTAGTTGTTTAGATTAATTAATGGGTCCCCCCGGAGCCACCCAAATGAATTCAATTTGAACGTCAACAACTTGGCAATGGAGTTTCCCAGGTTGGCATTAAGACAATATTAAACCTGCAATAAGTCACATTTAAAATGTTAATTCAGAGAAGCTCTCCATTTAGGGCATTTAATTAAATCCTTAAATAAACTGCCTGGGCTCAGTACCAGATGGTTCTGCGCTTTCATTGTAGCACAGAGCCTCGGAGTCATTGTGGGAAGTAATATTGGAGGTGCGGTGCAGATAACCAGGATATATAGAGTAATAAAATCTAATCTCGTTTCCAGCGGGGAGAGCTGGTGTATGTACACAACCCAGGCTCAGATTGTAAGTTAATTACATTAACCCTGGTGTACTCCGGGATCTGAGCGGCCAGAGATGAAATTAGTCTTTTTCCTATCATAAGATTCTTTTCAACTTCACTATATTAATTTTTAGCCAAATACTTACTCATAAGGAAAATTGAAGTTAATGTAACCAAAGATAAAGTCACGCAGCCTTAATATTCTGCAGGGATTATGGAGACCCATGAAAATGCACTCTGCAAATGTCACCGGCTTGGCGTGGATTTATGGAGTTGGGGGAGAAGCAATGAAGAGCCCAAGAGGACCCTGGTCCCTGTCCATCTCCCATTCCCCACCTAGGGTTCATAAAGGGCCTAATCTGGGAAATTCAGTCCTTGGAATCAGAGAGTCTCACAAGGACAGTGGAAGGGACTTTGGCCCTGGTAGAAGTCACTGTGATGCAGGTGCAGGCCCAGGTGTCTGGGCTGCAGGATTACCTCTGCCTGGCCCCTGGGTACCCCATAAATTTCCACTGCTCAGCGTTTAATCTCCCTGTCCTGTGAGCATCATCATCCTTGGCCTTCCACAGCAGTGAGGTGGCACATGGCCCTTCCCAGACTCTTCCTCAGGATGCACAGGGGACCCACCTGTCTCTCATGTGCCAGCCTGAGACACCTGGGCAGCACCCTGAGTTATCGTAGTGATGTTGGGTCCCGTGGTGAAGGAAGGGCTAAGACAAGCGCACTTCTGAGAGGACATCCCCTGAAAGTCTACCAGTTCTCCAACAACTAGGAAAAACTGCACCCACTGACCCTTCAGCCCCACCAGCCAGGCGCATTCTCCAGGGGCTGCAGCTACCAGTGCTCCTGGTCACTCTACCCTCTGAGGAAGTAAGGACAACTAAAACCCTCTAATTGTCTCATAAGTGCAGCTTTCTGCCCCTCTAACTCCAGGCAAAGTAGCAGGAAGTGAACTGAATGTCCATTTGTCTCCACCTGACAAACAGCTCTGTCATGACCCTGCACCTGCCTTCGCTTGAACTTCTTAGGTCCTCCTCCTCCGCCTGGTGCTTGGTGCATTTTATCCTCCCAAGCTGGAATAGTCCAGACCCCTCCCTCCCACTCCACTCCAGCCTTTGGTCTGAGAGAAATGACCACAGCTTCAAAGACCTGATTCTGTCCTGTTCCTGGCTCTCCTGGTTCACGCCTTCCACTGAGCTTCCTTGCGATCCTGACCTTGCCTGTGACACTATTCCCTGAAGGACTTGGTGCTGAGTGCCTAGCAGATTTCATCCTAATGCATCGGATAATTGATTGATAGTGGCTGCTCCGGGCCCCCTGTTAAGGACTGAATCCAGTCGTTAAGAACACTGTGCTGTTAGCAATATTTATCATCTCTGTGTGGGTTTACACTATAAATAGCTTCTAACATTTTAAAATATCACCAACAGCACTTAGTTGCTATCTCATAATTTGTTTTTATTAACTCTTTTTTTGTTCTTGTACTTTTTCCTCTGCTAGTAAGAGTAATGGCATATCTTCGTACACAAGCCTTTGTCTCGGTGTCTGACCCTTTATTCCAATAGACTCCTAGATCAAAGATTGCAAGCCAAGTTCAAATCATTTACAAGTTTAGCTCTTTATTATGACCAGCAGAATCACCTAAAGAGATTCCTAATTAAGAGATCACAAGGGAGAGCAAGATTTAAAGAAACAAGGAGTTGGCTGTTGTATGTCTTCTCTAAATACCCTTACTTTCCATAATTCCTAGTTGTAGAATCAAAGATTCAGAGCTGGAAGGAAAACAGGAAGTTGATTCTAGCTCTAACACTGGCCAGAGGCACCTGGAGACACCAAGTGGCATCATAAAGACTGGAAGTAGTCCTTGGGGGCCAGGGTCCTGTCTCAGGCTCTTCCACTGATCGTGCTTCCTGGTGCACACGCACCTCCAGGGGTTCTGCTCATCCCTGCAGCTCCAGCCACACTCAGGATCAAAGCCCTTGCTGCTCCTTACACTTTAGGCTGTGGTAACGTCAGTCTGTTCTCAAGTCTAGAGGGACATCCCGTGGCTTCCTTCTATGGTGCATGGCTAACGAAACTGCTGTGAATTCTTATCCCCCTACATGTCTCATGGTCCACATGATAAAGGCCAGCAGAAAGAAACACTGGCTGTACCGTATCTCTGGCACTGGTGCTGCGTGTCCACTCCAGTCTACGAGGTAAAAGAATAAAACTGGCTTTGCTTGTGTTTGGTTTGGATTAATTTTCCAGATAGCACTTTGCAACACCAACCTAACTCTGACCCAAGCTGCAGTGACAAAGATGCCCTCTGCAGCCAGAGACACTTTCCCGAGTAACCAGCTGTTCTGGAGGGGGCAGCAAAGGGGCTGAGCAGGGAAGGGCTGCGGAGGAGGCAGTCTGCTTGGTGTGGAGGACGGAACGGCTGGTCGGTGAGACACGAGCCCCGCACTGAGCTCTAGGGCTATCTCGGGGTGGGGAGGCTCTCTTGCCATTAAAGGCAGTTACTGTCCTGCCCAAGCCCAGGGCATCTGTGGCTCCTGCTCGTGTCTGCAGACCAGGGCAAGTGGCAGAGGAGAGTGCACTCAGAGGAGACAGCTGGGTTCCCGGGCAGTAGGAATCAGGTCTTTGGGTGTGCACAGCAGTGAGGGGCCAGCTCTGCATCCTAATACCACACAGCCTGTGCATCGAGGAGTTAGGCATTTAAGGGTGAAAGCTGCCCAATTGTGGATAAAGACTGGAGGCTGCACTTGGGGCAGTTGGAGCATCCACTGTGTATTATCTATGCTCCAATGCAAAGAACTTGTTTTGATCAAGATGAGCCTGCACCCAGCTGGATTCCCAGAAGAGGATGAGCAAACCAGCCTCTCCGGATGTTTCAGAATGAACCTCAAAGCAGTTCCTTTCCCCACGTGCTGAGGCTTCTCACTGAGTTTATAGCAGAGCCTCCCTATTGATTCTTTGTAGCTTGGGGTGTACTAATTTCTTCCTGAAATGAACAAGCTTGGTACACTTCTCCTGCCCCCTGAGGCAGCTCTCCAGGGCTTTGGCCTGGCTCTGTCCCCGCTAAAGGATGGTATTTGTTCCCCCAACACCTGGTCTTCTCTGGGGAGACCCTTTCCCCCCATGGATGTCCTCAGGGCCGCACCATCCCCTATAGCTGGCGAAGGTCCCGAGGGCCTCACCTCCCTTGGGGCACAGGGGTGCCACCACTTGCCACCTCCCTGTCTGCAGCTCAGAGCCGAGGAGTCCCCAGAGCCTTTGCCATGAGCTCAGACTCTGTCCTGGGATCTTGATGGCAGCTCAGCTGAAGCTGTATTCAGATGGTCCCAAGGGCCCAGACAAAGCGCCTGTCCCCACCTTCAGCATCTTTTCGGGTTGTGCTCTCAGGCCCACCAGGTGAGGAGGCCCCACAACTGGAAGTTTTGCAGGTCTGGGGGCCCTCAGCAAAGTCAGCCTGGGCTGCAGTAACCCTGGGAGGGGAGGTGACAGAGGCTCCGAGAATGGACACCCTGTGAAGCTCCCTCTG